CTCGGTTACGAGAGGATGGGTGTGCGCACCCGTGGGATGCAGGTTATCCTAATCACCAAGTAGCTATAAAAGGTGGTGGGGAGCACCGGGTGGCAGCTCTGACAACGTATTCCTTGCCTTAGTGCTTTGTTGGTCAGTTCGTGCCAAAGGAAGAATACAAAGTGCATTTCAAACCGTTTCTGTGTTTGGCTGTTTTCATTAACCCTTCGGAACCTGACAGTTTGTCAGAGCTCACACCATGGCTGAAGGTACAGTGCTTGGGTTGGAGACTAGGGGCTTGGAGGAGTCTGCCGTGGCAACTGATACAGCTGATATGCTCAGTACCGGTGGCAGCGACTGGGGGGAGAGTTCTGACCCGATGATAACTAAGCCTATCAAACGTTTGTGATACAGGTAGTGTGGAAGCGGCCAGGCAACAACAATGTACAGCCCTGATCGATTCAGGGTGCACACGTTGCTTAATGAACTCCACAGTCGCTGATAGTCTGGGGGTGGGCCTCAGGAAGTTGGATAGGCCGATGCGTTTTAACCAGATGGATGGGTTGTTACTGGGAGGCCAACCAGCCACACATGTAACTGATCAGGTGGTATTGCGGATAGGGCCCCATCGGGAGTTTTTGCATTTTGTAGTGGTTCCACACGTTACAGAGATTGTGCTAGGCCTGGCGTGGCTGGATAAATGGGGACCCACGATTTGGTGGGGTGGTGGTAGTAGGCATCTCAGAGTAGGGCTTGATCCTGACCACCCTCCTCATGAGGCGCAAACCATGGCCCAGGGTTCGGTGAGATTCCGAGCTACAGTGCCACTGGTATATGCAGCTGGGGAGGAGCGATTCCCTCAGGTATATGCAGACTTAAAAGATGGATGCAGCGAAAAGGAATGTGATACTTTGCCCCCTCACTGCCCCAGATTGTGCAGTGGAACTAATCCCTGGGGCTAAACTGCCAAAGCCCTGAATGTATTCTATGACCCCACAAGAACTAGCAGAAATGTGGGCATCCATAGAAAAGAATTTTAAAGGGGCTTTATTCAGCCAGCTAGATCAAGAGTGGCTGCCCCCATTGTTTTCCGGGAGAAAAAGGATGGTGGCTTATGCCTCTGTGTTGACTTTCAGGGCCTTAATGCTGTCTGTGTGGAACATCTTTACCCTCTCCCTTTAATGAAGGACATGCTGGCTAGGTTAGCAGAGGGATGCATATACACGAAATTAGATCTCAGGGAGGCATACTATAGGGTACGCATTTGGGCTGGTGATGAATGGAAGACAGCCTTTAATTGTCCTCTAGGCAGTTACCAGTTCTGGGTTATGCCTTTTGGACTGTAAGGAGCCCCAGCGGTGTTCATGCAGCTAATTAACGAAGTGCTGCATGAGCATCTATATCAAGGGGTACTCGTCTATTTAGACGATATCCTTATATACACCAAGACCATGGAGGAACATGTAACTCTTGTACGTCAAGTGCTTAAAAAGCTGCTGGATGTACATTTATACATCAAATTATCTAAATGTGAATTCCACAGGACGCAGCTGGATTACCTTGGGTTCCGCATTTCACCTAAAGGAGTGGAGATGGACCCCGCAAAGGTGAAGGAGGTGCTGGACTGACAGACTCCCAAAACCCATAAGCAGTTGCAAAGTTTTTTTAGGGTTTACCAATTTCTATCGCCACTTCATCTCGTCCTTTGCCCAAGTGACCCTTCCACTAACCAACCTCTTATGCAGAAAGCATCTCACGACAAACTCTCGACAGGGAAGCCCAGTTGTGTAGACAACAGCGTGTCAGCAAGCGTTTGAGCGATGTCATCCAGTGGTGTTAGAGGGCAACCAATGGTTTCTTTGTGTTCTTTTTTCTCTTCAGTTTTTGGAGCTCCACCTCCCCCTCATTTTTTTCTGATATAAACTTTATCTTCTTGTCAATTCTCAAAGTTACCTCCAATAACTTTTGAATTGCATCCCAAATCTTTTGCAAAATTAAAGTTTCCTCTTCTGAAAATTGATCCATTTCCAAATTGTAAATTTCTGCCACTCTAGCTTCCAAGACTATGTGTGTGTGTGTGTGTGTGTGTGTGTATGTATATATTATATATATACACATAGATATATATACACACATATATACATATATATAGTATATATCTATATATATCTATATATATATATACAGTATATGTGTGTGTGTATATATATAGTATGTATGTATGTGTGTGTATATATATATATGTTGCATTTGTGCTGATAAATAAAGTGTGTATATATATATATATATATATATATATATATACACACACACATATATATACACACACACACACACATACACATATACATGAAATGTTTTACTAGAATATTTGCTTTAATTTGTTTAATGTTACATAAAGTTAACAATGAAGTAAATTGGTTAAGATTCTGTCAGTAAATGAGAGACAGGATAGGACTCCACATACATATATCATGTACAAGCGTATAGCATCAGCATATAACATCTTTGCTTAAAATAATTTTAATCATTTTTGAAATATTTTACTTATTCTTGAAATAAACTCAGAAAAATTGGGACATTTCTGAGTAAATGAACTTCATTTTATGACATCATATTTGAATCAAATTTTAAACTTTGGTTCTGTGATCACCATATGCCTTCATCAATAGTTGCCTGATCATTCCTCAATGTCTGATTTTTCTCTTAATATTCCCTCTAAAGTTTAAAAAGTAACAAATAGACAAACAGCACAAATTTATAAAATATTTCCTTTGGGAAAGCTCATCAATATTGCTTTCTTTTGGTGCAAAGACAAAACTTTTTTAGTCATTTGAGATCTTTGTTATTTCTATTCCTTTTATATTTTTAAAATATTCTGATATTTATTTTCTCTATCCTATTGATTTTCTAAATGAGAATAATATCTATATAAGGAAAGTTATAACAGACTAACTCAGGTAACTCTCTGACCTTTCTGGCCTAGAAATCAGGAGACTTGTCAGTTCTACTTCCACCAGTTGGGTCATTTTGCACCAATTGGGTGACTTTCTTAAGCCAACTCACCTCACAGGGTTGTTGTTTTAGGGAAAACAGGAAGAGGAATGAGTATTAGGAAACTTTTTTGCCTTGAGTTACTTATAAAGTAATAAAGGCAGGATAAAAATCTACAGAAAATATGTAGAGAAAATACATTTCTCTCATCCTCAAAAGAAAAAGAATGAACAAAATAATTCTACCCTGCACATAAGCATCTTTAAATAGAATTATGATGCAAGATATCATGGGGCCATTAGTCTACCACAATGGGCATCAGTAGCTTGTAATGACAACTATGGCTAATTGGGGGGGGGGAGACACTATAGGTAGTATTCTATTTCTATTTATTAAATTTATAGGCCGCCCAATCCCGAAGGACTCCGGGCGGCTTACAGAAATAAAAATATTAAGAAGAAGATTAAAAGCAAACAAAACAAGGCAGATTAAAAAAACACATCATGCACCCAGTCTAAGCGGGGCTGGACCTCAATCAAGAGGTCAACAGCCCCAGGCCTGCCGGAATAGCCAGGTTTTGA